ATGGTCTGTCAGGATTTTAATGTGTGCATTCAAATCTGTAGTAAGAATAACCAGCTAAAGCCATTTATTTGAAGCACCTCCTCTCAGGTATATTATTTTATTTAAATGTGAAAAAAAGAATACAGACACTTCAACATAACAATATTTCGAACTCAGAATCGATAACCAATGGTACATGTGAGTAAAGGAAACACAAACTTGGAGTCCCTTGCAAAAGAGTATAAGAAGACCATGTGTTCCAGAAGGGTTAGCGTCTTCTGCTGTGTAAAATAAACCATAAGGCACGCTAATGAGCATAAGTAAAAAAAAAAACATCAACCTTTATGCCACATGCAAATATAGAGCATACACATCTCATAAGGGTTTTGTGTCCAAGTCGATTGTTATGAACATGAAACATAAAAGCAATATACCCGTGTAAAGCAGGTATCAGCTGTAAATATGGGATATATTAATTGTTGTAAGCATGGGATATTAAAACTGTAAGATTGATCGAGTTGTCCTAAAGCAATGTACTATATTTTGTCCTCTTTGTCGCCCTGTAGTCGGTACATGTACCTTTATAATGGTTGACAAATATTTCCTAGTATGATTGAAATTCTGTAAGTCGTAAGAATATAAACAGATCTCGGTCTGTCACAAAATTATGAAAGTATTTCATATCATTATGATTATAAACGAGGCCATCAATACACGATCAGGCTAAAATCGTCATTGTCCTTTATCGTACTCTTTGATTGACAGGTGGCTCCCGAGTCACAGCACATGCTCAGAGGGAGCTTAACCTCCGGGATACAATCCACTCTAATCGTTAGGCATGTGGAGAGTTAACGAACACGACTCCTGATAATTCACAAATCATCTTACTAAGTGCTTCTTATACACTGATTGTATTTAACAATATGACGAGCGGGGGGCTATCAGATATGTGTTGGGTTATGTATTATGGCAGGTTTTCTTAGTCGTGGCAAGGTCAAGTTTTCGTATATGTACACAGGTCATTATCGGTACATGTCACTTGAATCTCACGGGGTAGCCTCGACACTTTGGGAGACAAACCCGGCGTCTATAACCCGAGGTGGCTGTGGTGTTTGTCTTTTCTAATGACAATGTAGCCAACAGAGAACAATGTTCAGTATGTGTCGTTATCACCAGAGATACTCGATGACCGATTGGTTCTAATAACTATCATTGAAGTCACTGACAGTGCTTGTATAAGGTACTTTTCCCCTTTATTCTACATTTGTTTCAGAACGCTTCAAACATGGATGTTAACAGTATTTCATTCCTGTGACCTTCCATACCAGTGATGAGTCCTAAGTGGACGACCTACCCATGCAGTGTAGTTAAAGGTCTACTTTGATTGGTTTACTGCATTTATAAACAAAATTTTCAAACAGATGCTTCCCTTCCGTGTATTTCTAGTGATAATTTGAGTTATTTTGCCCGTAATCATTACACAAGTTCTGTTAGCTGGAGATATTTATAGTTACCTCTCATACCCGTGATATCGATAAGTGCGGAAGTTATTGTAAATGCTATGTACTGATGTGTGAGAAATTCATAAATTGATTGGCTCTATATCTTGACGAAATATAAAATAATTGATGAATTTACATTGACATTTAATGTACTGCCGGTGAGTTCACACTGGTGTATATCATGGAGTCGTGGTGCAGGCCTGTTATTTTATAGAGTACTGGGTTTTCTTCTTAACAATTTATCTTTTTGATAAAAAACAGAGATATTGATATCAGAATCGTTGGTATCAGGAAATACCAATGGTGCCCTTAGTGTACTTTATGATTACCTGTCGTGAGTACTCTCCTGAGTTCTCAATCTGAGAACTTTTTAATAATTACATATCATACCTGCTTTTATATTGTAATGCCCACATGCAGCCGAACAAACAGAACATCACAATAAAAGACTGCTCATTTACATTGATAATCTGACGTGTGTCTTTGAGTGTATTAATTGGATCCAGAAGTAGGTTAGAGAAGATCATTATGACTGATTTAGAACTTAATAACGTATCGCTTTGTTACTAACACATGATAACATTAACATATAATCCAACATGTTACCATGGAGATCCAAACAAAGTAAGAAGTAATACAATAACAGTACCACGAAGCGTGAAGTCATGGGAAGTTGGATTTAATCCTTCACTAATAAATGTGTCTGGTCAAAAATGTCCTAGTTCAATATCCACCAAACTCGTATTGATGGTGAATCAATAGCTAAAACAAGATATTCACTGTGTTAACATAAATTTATAAATAAATTAATGTGCCGGCTTGTATTGGTTTATTACGCGTTATCTTCATTTTTACCTTCAATATTATCCCGTACATCTTTCTTTCCAGTTTCCTCTGACCTTGTACGCCAAACCATGCGAAGGGAGGCAACCTCTTCACAGCTTATCAGGGTTTCACATACCATGCGAGGGGAGACAGCCTCTTCACAGCTTATCAGGGTTTCACCATACCATGCGAGGGGAGATAACCTCTTCACAGCTTATCAGGGTTTCACGATACCATGCGAGGGGAGACAACAAGTAACAGCATTTATGATATATATAATGGAACTGATTTTGTTTTGAATGACCAGAACTTCAGAAACTACTTTTGTCCAATATACATTCTGAATGTGAAACAACGGACTTCTTGTTCTAGTGTCATATTTTAACATTGATTAACAGTATGACAGTAATGGTAACATGACTATTAAATTCTATGACACTCGTGATTACTTTTATTTCACAATCGTTCACTCCACTTTCCGCAGTGGTAACATACAACAGTTTACCCTGGATATGGTATTTATACGGTTGTTCGTTACCCCCCAAAATATGCTGAATATCAGACTTTAACGAATATTTGCATTCCTGTTTCTATCCCAGAGGTTTGAATTTATTGAAGAAATTTTACGATCGTCTAATTTATAAGTTTGGTATTTCAGGGTCTATCCTGATAAAAGATACGGTCTAGGCGCCTAAGACTTTGTTCTGTATATACCAGTAGATATGATGACGGATGCCACCTATGGTTTCGCCCTACTGTTATGGTGTCTCACTGGCTTCTATTTTTGTCGTTTGTATCGACGTTGATACTCAAGTTGTCCTTCGGTGTTGATTTTTTTTACATCTTATCTATTTTCTGGACAACATTATTTTAGATACAAGCTCGGTATCGACATTTTCAAATTGGCTTTCTTTCGTTGGGACACCGACCGCATCAATTACATTCACTGAGTGTAAGGAACGACAACTCCTCTTCTTCTTCTACTTCTTCCATATGAAGGACCAGACTCAAAAGGTTTGACTGCATTTGATCCTGGGAGGAGGCGTTAAAAACAATTATTTTTGGTATTTTTCACTATAAGATAAAATCAGTAAATTCTTTAGGGTAAGTGTAAACTAGCAAGGGCACACCTGAAAGAGTTCAGGTTTTGCTCCTGTGCTAGAGAATTTGGCAGATAATTCCAATTTACAATAGTCCTGGGGGAAAAAGAGTAATTACAGGTGTTTATTGGTGTGAATTTGGTTGATTCTGTGGGCCCCTCGTGTTCTCCTTTCACTTGATGTTAAAAAGTAGAATGGATCGATACGAACATGTCCGTTTATGATCTTATACAGCATCATGAGTCCGGCTTTTGTTCTTCTCTGAGCTAGGGGCTCCCAGTTAAGTGATCCGATCATATTGGATACTCAACCAGGCTCTCTAGATATATGGTCATTAAACACATAATTGTGTTGTGCACCCCTAAAAGGACAGGGGCGTTGTCAGAGCTGGTACCATTAATTATGACTTTCTGTTGTCTTTTATTTAAAAAAGAAGAAAACCAAAGTATAATTTCCGAGTTGATGCCGTAGTATTTTAATTTGGAAAGTAGTCTTGCATGAGGGACTTTATCGAAAGCTTTTGAGAAATCAAGAAGAGCGACATCAATTTGTTTATTTTCATCAAGGTTTCTTGCTAGGTCGTCTATTGTCAGAATCAGTTGGGTTTCAGTGGAGAATTTTGCCCGGAAGCCATGTTATAAATTAGTAAGGATAGTATGGTGTTCGAGGTGAGCCATAACGTTGTTGTGGATAACATATTCCAATAATTTTCAGCAGCTTGCTTTTCACCTTTTTGAATACTGGAACAATGTGTGCTACACGCCAGTCGGTGATAGAAAATTGCTACTGTATTTAAAAAAAAAGACTTTCTGTCGATGAAAAACAACAATCCAAAAGCGTAGTAAATCAGAAACAGGGGTTTAGAAGTCTGTTCAACTTCACATATATTTAACGAGTCAATCCAGATTGAATTTGTGGTTGCTTCAGTATTTCTTTAATTAATTGGTTTTTCTCCAAAATATTAATTCTGCAAATCGGATCTACGCGCCTAGAAGTTCCCTATTAAGCAACACAGTTAGTGCAAAATGAAGCTTAACTTTAGTATATCTATATAGTTGAATTAGAAAATTTGTTTTACATAGTTATCGGAATAAATCCTTATAACTGGATTACTGATATCTTATTTAATACACAATTTACTTTCAACTTAAAAAGAACTTAAACTGCCATCGTAACAGGTATCTTAAATGCGTGTAATTTTAAAAACAGGATTCATATATGTGTCATGCACTCTAAACAGTACGAATTGCAAGTACTTGGTTCTCCAGTAATAAAAGAAGTGTTCTAATTTATTTCTAATTACACTGCACAAATTAAACATTAAGTAGAGACCAATCATGTACACCATACATTGACGAATGTCCGTGTGTTAAATTTCTTACTGTACGTTAGAAGTTCTCAAAGGGACCCATTAGATATAGAAACGCCACCGGAGTTGCCGAATAGTCTTAATCATGGAGACAACCAGCATGCGCTGTGCTAACGTATATTAGACGTACACGCCTATGTGGTAAGCAATTTCTATACTTTTGTCCATATCTATTGCCTTAAAATCTATTATGCTTCGATGGTATTGATAACAATTGTTAACTGATGATGATAATAATAGAAAACAAGTACTAATTGTAATGAAGGATCATTGCAGAAGTCCCACAAACCCCCGCATTTATTTACGCAGTGCCAAAATAGCCCAACATACCAAATTTGAATGAAATCAAACAATATCTGACCAATCAGAACCCAGTATACGGCAGCCATTTGAGATGCGCAATTGCGAAAAAAAGTGTCTTGTACATCTAGGCACACGCCCCAATACTCCTGTGAAGTGTCATTAGAATCCGACAAACCGTTTCTTATAAAACGTGCAGTAAAACCAATAAGTCCTCCACTTCGTTTGGGCGTCTTAAAAAACAAATAATATGATATTCTATTTTGTTAGCGAGTTTAATCAATGTCATTGAGATCTGTATAAAATAGGGACGGATGATGTATAAAATATAGAATGACAAAGCAATCTCTCTTGATGATATCACAATGGCAGTAGTAAAAGAGAAGGACGAAGTATATCATTTAGACGACCAGACACACCAAATTACTCAGTAATGTTAGCGGGAAGACACTCATGTTAAACCTGGTAGAGTTCATAGGTGATCACATTCAATACAACCTACAGTCACTGTCGCAACATGGTCGCTGTTTTCGTTGCTGTTTACCACAATAAAGACACGTTTGATACCACTAATAGCGCTGATTATCAATTAAAACCCGTTTGGTACGCTATATCTCTGATGTTAGATCTTCGATGAGTTGGTTCTTGTACAACTCCCAATCGGCTTTTATTTGGAGATTGTTCTGAAACGTGTTCTCATCTGGATACGGTTGAACCTGATGACGTATCAGCCTTTTGACTGTTGGGGTTGCATGCTTGATAAAGAAAGCTTTGGAAACCATGATCAATTCGGCTCCCCTACTCACCTGTCAACAGAAATGGTTATTGAGAAAAATGTGACAAAAATGTACATAACAAGAACTAGAAAGGGCCACTACCTAAGTACATTACAAGGACTAGAAAGGGCCACCACCTAAGTACATTACAAGAACTAGAAAGGTCCACCTCCAAAGTACATTACAAGAACGTACAGCAAACGTGTTTGAAGGTTCCGACGACTGAATAACACGAGGACACATTTTACGAATTTACACTTCACGTGCATCCACTTCAAGTGTAAGGAGATGATGGGACTTAGTCCCTATAGAAAGACTAATACAGTATTTCCTCACTTTACTGGCATCACAGAAAGTGTACGAGGGACAGTATTATTGGTTATAGATGACGGGATGACGCCATACCAGCGAGTGAAGGAGACAACAGAACAAGGCTTTCGTGACACAAGATCATGATGGATATTTTTTAAATGAGGTGACGGTGAATCAAGATCCAACGGCGGAGTTGATTATATCTTTTCAAAGAAATACTAAATGGAGTTTGTAACGCCGAAAATAAGACGTCACTACTAGCTAGTATGCTTGTTGGCAATTCTTTTCGAGATGATTAAGGATCATAATTATGTATCACAATGTTATCAGATCTAAATATACTTACCAGACTAACACTGGTGTTCTCACGTTCAGCTTCGTCAGGAAACGTTATAGTTTCCAAGCCCTGAAAAACATTTGACAGACAAACGTTAAAACACAATTTATTTATTTTTTATGATGAAGATCCTCATTATATAATAACATCAACTTCCATACTTTTCAATAACATGACCCAAAGACGCACTTTAATAACTACAATTAGTATCCGGAGGAGCGATCTGTTTATGAAAATCACTTAACATCAATACTATCTTCTCTCGTGAGTTTTCTTTACAACCATATCTAACCATTCACTTTAACGTTAGTTAATTATGACTACTCACAAACGAGTCCCTGGGTTTTAATGCCTCCACTTGCACGAACACCGGAGGTGGTTTGCCGTTGGTTTCCTTGATCGGTTCCGGTGGCTTGGGAGGTTGACACCGCTTGGGAACCTCGTATTTCTTCTTTGTCTCCAACGGCTCTGGGGCGGCTCTAGACTGTGAAATGTTAACAGGAGAAAAGCTCATAATATCAATTAAAGATAGTTTCGCTTATCCTAGAAACAAAGGTTTTCATGGTCACCTGACAAGTAATATTTTCCTATAGGTAAACCGACTTCAGAAATACAAATAAACAAAATTATTTTGGTAATTAACAATCAAAGATACTATTGTAAATGATTCAACCAGACGCACGTTAATTAATCATTAAAATCTGAATATGATTACTACTTTTCATTCTCTCCTGAAAAATTGTCAAGTGACAAAGGTGTTTTTTCAAATCATTTAAACATTCACGTTTTCTTCACTACATTACATCATTATGAATATGGCGATCAAAAAGAAAATTACTGGTATATAAACTCACAAAATGAGCTTTTAGAGTCGTAGGGAACTTAGAATAGTTATCCTTGGAGAAGATCTCTTTCTGCCTGGTACTTCCCTGTGACCCCGGGGGCGTGTTCTCCTTCGGCTTCTTATTCTCCTGGTCCTGACAAAACCATAGCATTACAGTGACGAGAAACCACTTAAACCTTCTAACCAGATAGTAGATCATTATTTCGTTTAAAACAAAACAGCGGAAGTATAACTCAGAGAAAAACGTTTTTACACAAAATTAATGCACTATACTAAACTTTTACCGAATTCTTTATATGATGCACAAGGATCTGGTATCAACGCCAGTTTGAATGGAAAAGTCAAATCACGGCAAGATGAAATTTTGTACATTTACCAATAGGATAATAATATTATTATACAAAACGCACTTTGCAAATTCAAGTTAAAGCAGTTGTAATGTAATCTTAATGATGTTTACGATTATATAAACTGTGTTAAAATTATGTTTATGTCATGATATAGGAAAATTGTATCAATTTGTTTTTTATCATGTATTGCTATTCAAACATTATTGAATTACCAAAAACAAAAAATATTTTCGATATGGAAGTGATGATCATAAAACCATGTCGTTGACTTGGTGACTGAAATATTAAAATCTCCTAAATACTCAAAAAACTAAATGTACATCACGAGGAAATAATGAGAATATATTACAAATAAGTACACTCATTTCTGTTGTTGAAATGTGGTTTTATAAACTGCAATACGCTCACCTGTATGTATAGCTCTACCTCACCCTCAGACTTGACCTTTCGCTTTCTAATACCGGTGTCAATTTTTGGTTCTGTCAAAAGTAAGCATATTATGTAGGGTATCAACGAAAAGAGAATGTAGGGTTAAAACATATATAGTAATGCATCAATAAGCATCTCGATCAAGTTAATTGTCCTATTACACGAAATACATCACAAGGGAGGAAATCCGTGTGTCCTAAAGCACGAAAAACCTACGACCAAGGGAGGAAATCCGTTTATCCTAAAGCATGAAATACATACGACCAAGGGAAGGAATCCGTGTACCTTACACACTACAGAACTACGACCAAGAAATTGTTGCCAAAAAGCTACTGCCAATCAAATGAAAGAACGTTACTTCAATCAATGAGGAGCAATCCATATATGATCGCGTTATGCATTAACATTAATGTCGAATTAGGAAACGGCTTAAACAATATGTTTTAGCAATGTTTTAAAGATATCAGATTTATTAAATGTTAAAAGTATCGGGTTACTTTTCGGAATGTCATTTTTTTCCATAGAAATCAGTGGTACTACATCTAGTATCACATAATATAAGATAACCGATTACATACCACATGTAACTGAAAATCCCACATGTATCTCTAAGCAATACAGCTTATTGTTAATAGGTTGAAATAGTTTAAATATAAATCACAAACTAACAAATAATATTTCACATCTTCATTCGTGTGCATTTTCACAATTAAATTTTAAGGATATTAACTGTTTTACTTACTAGCTTCCTTGGTGCCGAGTGTTGGTAGTTTAGAATCCTTATCACTGATAGCTGCCTTGTACTTTATTCTAGCCTTGACGCCCTTTAGTTCCCGCAACACCTGACACGATCCCTGTAGGAGCAACACAATTCAGAACTATTGAAGGTTTGTTCTTGTTTTAGCAACTCTTTTCGTTTATCTTTATCCTGTTTCATATTTCGATTGCAGAGTTTTTATTTTTTTAAGTTGGTTTAATGTATCATTCCATACCTCGAGTGTAAGACAGATAAATCCGCCCACCCCAACCAAGAAAAAGATTTCCTTGACTGTCCAACCCAATGGAGCCTCTGCCGAGGATTAAACTTTCAAGAATTTCCTGCGAGGATGGATATTTACTGTTTCCTACCCTCCAGATAAGGAACGGTCAATTTTCATACATACAATGACACATATGTAAATTGTTCAAGGTTTTTGTAAGATGATATGATTATTATAATTTGTCCTCGTGGATAAAAAAATTGACTGCAAAGGAAATGTGTCATTAATAACACTTAGCTTGTCCTATGAACTTTAGTGGGAACCACGTGTGTTATAAATTCTAGTTAAGCTTATGATTCTTTTTGCTTATACATCCGGAAAAGACAGGAAAAAGTTTCCCTGACCGACCGGAAGTGTGTATATCTCTGCATCACTGTCTAAAGAGAGAGATTAGGTTCTCTTCCATATTAGTAATGTTAATGGTTAATGTGCATGAAACACTGAAAAACAACACACGGGTAACACACTGTCTCCAGAGGTCAGATACAAGCTTTGTCTGACCTCATTCTGTATACGTAAGATACATTAAATATAACAATAAGTTGTCAGTTTACTCACGGCTTTGACGACATACACCCACTCCGAGAAATTACTGTCCTTTACCACCACCACATTACGTCTGGAAATGTAAAATTACCCAATATTTGTCTATATCATTAGATATGTGTATACCTGAATAACAATGATTTTAAAAGCGTACCTCAATACTTACCGATTCTCATACACAGTAGCATGTTTAAATCAACAACCAAAGGTGCAACGGATCTACTATTTGTTGAACTTCAACCAATTAATTTACCCTTTACTCTTATCCACAAAACAATTATACATACATGTATAGACTCAAAAAAAAAACGTATCTAAAAACAATGTCTGTTTATTTCTCATCCTGATCATTAATAAAGGCTTTTCGTACGTAAATACCTTTTTGTCAATAGAAGGAATGCGAACACCACTATTTAAACGGCAATAATCCACAGTGCACCATGTTGACTTCAGGGTATTTTTTTGTCTTAAAATCTTTGTCGAATTTTGTTGAAGAAAATAAGAACTAACAATGCATCAATTCCATCTACTATGCTTTTACATTAGTGTGAAGCTGGCTGAATTTATGCAATAAATATCAAATAAATAAGCTACAATGCATGCCTCATTCTTTAATTACACATCCAAACACATTTTGTAAATTGATAATGTTATACCTCTTGACAAAAAAGAACTTTAAGAAATACATTAATTTTATATAATCCCAAGAACACGTTAAATTAAGTTATCACAAACTCCTTTTCTTCACCATCAGCTTAACTTTACTTTCATGTTCATATATAATGAGTTGGTAATGTGCGTGGCAATACTAACGTTAGTAACTATATTCATCTAGTTCATCTTCATAACTTGGAAATAAAGATACAAACCACTATTCTTTAGCGCCATATCTTTGTTTGAGATTACAGTTATTTAATTTGTTTAACTTATCGCAGTACGTTGATTGTCTGGCGATTACCAGATACCATAGTCAGCCCAACAATACCAATCCCCTATCATCGTCTCTTTCCTTCTTTGAAATATATGCCACTATACCTTGCACTGCATCCCACACTCTATCAATTTGTCTAAAAGAATGTATTTTACATCAATTTTATATGTCTTATTTAAATAAATGTATCATGTCTTGGCAGTTACAGTATTCAAATCGAAACCTCTGGACTTGTTTCACTGTACATGGAGACTACACATTTAACCTCTGGACTTATTTCACTGTACATGGAGACTACACATTTAACCTCGGGACTTATTTCACTGTACATGGAGACTACACATTTAACCTCGGGACCTGTTTCACTGTACATGGAGACTACACATTTAACCTCGGGTCTTGTTTCACTGTACATGGAGACTACACATTTAGCCTCGGGACTTGTTTCACTGTACATGGAGACTATACATTTAACCTCGGGACTTGTTTCACTGTACATGGAGACTACACATTTAACCTCGGGACTTATTTCACTGTACATGGAGACTACACATTTGATTTGCCTCTCGAGAACCTGTTCTACGTGTCAGGATGTTCGTGATAGATACAATATAATGTCTTTGTCTACCAAACGAAAAAATGTATATGAGATTAGTGAATAAACATATTTTTGTCATAACGAATGTAGATGCCAAGATGACGCTGATTAAAATACACCTGGGGTGCCTTTGATTTTAAGTTTTAAATGGTAAATAATTATCAATACTATTTTAATTCGATAAATTGATCAAATTATCTCAATTTGAAATTAATTAGGTAAATATGCCACTCCCCTTCGTCAATAGCGCTTGTTTGATTCAGCCTCGACTGATCGACTAGAAAGATTGCTCAGTTTTCTCCATTGAAATACTAAAGGTCTGTACAAATAGACGTCCAATAGTTCAACAAAACCTTTTATCAGGCAAACAATATCGTTATAAACGTTTAATAAAATAAGACATTTCTATTGACAAAAAGATCATTGATATCTACGTGTCTTTATTTAAGACACAAAGAGCTCATTTGCCAAACCTTTGATGCGTGATCAAAATTCAGCATGAGAAATAATTGTAGACCATGAGTAAAAGGAAATCGTTTGAGTGGGTTACTTTTAATAAGGACCCCTGATGGCTCAGCGGCGATAAACCGTATCATTGTATATGTTTAACGTTCGTCTTTTATTGATGTGAGTAAGTTGGTCAAGAGATTAAAAAGTAGTTCAGCCCAGCAATACACTGATTTGAGAAAGGCCTGCTGTACAATTTTAAGCATTCTCAATAAAGGAATAAGAAATCTGCATCGCTACACAGTTGGTTCATGTATTTTACGATACATATGTAATGGGGGACACATAAGTACTAGTTGCTACCCTTTACATATAACCAGGGGTATAACTCTGATACTCCGTACACAGTAGTCGTTATGCGGTCAGTCATCGTAAATGAGTGGGGTTGTTTATGTACACTGGGTTCGCAATAGCCTATCAAAGTCAGATTCGGGGTCGTAAATGTTGGCTCGATCAAATGATATTGGGAAATAAGAGCTGACCACCTGCGGGAGATAAATACATAAATCGCCTTTAATTCAATATATCTTGTCTGTGAATCGAAGCTATAGTCAGTTATCAAATGTGAATAGGCCTATTTAAACTGGTAAGATAGCAAATAAATAATATAATATCTTACTTGAAAAAGTGAAGCAGGCAAAATTGGGGATGTTCCAGTAGGTTATCTATAGGCCAGTCCTTCATGAATTCGCACTGACTGTAACGGTAAAAATTCGCATTTAATTACACAATTTCGTATATTTCTTTGGTATAATGATTTTCTCAATCGGATCTTACAGTAAAACGTTACTCCTTTAAGTATCTTTAAGTGTGAGTAGTAGGAAGTGTTTATGTGTTCCAACGGGTCATGCATAGCATCCTACTGCGTGGAACACAGACCACAGAAGGCAGCCTTAATACCCACTCGTGTTGGCTCTGTAAGGACTTCTGGACATTTACGTTCGATCCATAATAAAACAATTGATTTGAAAACAGAGAGCAGATAAATATTTTTTTCATTATTATGAATATACTATTAATTCAAGTTTTAAATGGAATAAATTGCCTCAACTTATCCACATGTCGGAACACATAAACTTATACAATGCATTACTTAATCTCCCAACACTTCCAATTTCTAGAAATGTATATCACCAATTAAATAACATCTTATTAATTTACAAAATAATAGTATTTTTTCAATTGTATAAAAGCCTATTCTATAAATATGACCGGATTGACATTGCTCCAAACAAAATGAACAAATAAAGGTAAACACGGTGGCACGGAATGTGTAACATATACTTTACCTGTATACAAATATACACGCCTTAACATTCATAGTACGTGCATTTAAAATGGATTATATTGATGTTAATATCATCAGACTAGAGATTTTTACTGCTTACTACATATCATAAATACGTGAATACTTTCTTTTTTGAAGCAGTTGAAAAGGTTTGGGTAAAAAAAGAAATATATTTTACGAATCTATAATTTGGTGAGTGAATTTTGCACATGATTGGAAATATTGACCACGTGTTACACACGTTGTCCAATACAAACCCAATTAGCCATCTAAGTATAACAAGCTATTAGTAGGCCAATGTTTTTGAAAAATTGATCCGTATAAATCTATAATAATATTAAGGCTATTAAAAGATGAATTTTAATAATGTATGCCTGTAACTCGGTCATATTATTATGTTGACATTTTCTTACCTTTTCTAAAACTGCTGAATATTTATAAACATCGTTTAAAAATCCTATTTGAGATTTTCGTTATAAAATAGAACATTAGTTTGGATTCTTGCGGTATCACACAGTCACAGGGGTAAAACTGATAGCATGTGGTGATATATATTAATATAGAAATATCGCTTATAAATCATACATTGAAAGAATGCTAATCAACATGAAGTGGCTCCCACAGAAAATATCGAGATATGGACGTTTCACCTGAGATAATCACTGTATTTAACAACGTAGATATCTCCTAGGATTATACTATGTCCATTGCGTGAGATTGAGGGTGTGTAATGGGTCGTGTGTTCCCGTTTGACACTGGTATTCTATTGCGTTCATGGCCTATCTACGTGTAGTCAATGGATCAATGATACCGCTCACGATGGTACCCGGATTTGTTGAAGTGTGTCATGACAGAATCACAGCATTAACCTCCACAAATAGAGTTTTAATTTGTATACAGGATCAGCTTAAATCTGCACATAAATATCACCAATATCATACACGGCACGTTACAGGTTGTCAACATGTTGAATGTTCATACAGTAAATGAAAACTTTTGAATTGGTAAATTTTGTACATAACAAGATAATAAACAATACCAAACATCACCTTGTAGTCTGTCTTACGAATTTCATTACGATTCAATAAATAAAATAAGTTTAATCACTATTCAAATACTCAAGTCTGTGTGAAATAATTGTATTCATCCTTTCATCCTTTTTCCTTTTCTGATGATTTTCCCAGTCGAATTGTACAAATACAGTTCAATGTTAACATACGCACAGATTCAACTACAGTGTTGAGGTAGGAGGAATATGATATCGTAAAAACATCTGTAATACACGGATATTAAGTAGTAGACGTGGTGGTACAAGACCGTCTTAAAGAGGGCATTTATCTGTAAGATGAGTCAAAACGCCCTCCTGATTCTCCTTAGTAAACAAATGATATAGTTGATCTTAACTTACTCAATTGCTTATTGTTTTAATTCCCAAGCAACGGTTAAGTCATACCTAACGGTCTACACGATAGGATATATGCACAGGAGTTTACAAACATATAATACGTTTGTACAATGCCTACCTAACGAATCGTATATGTTCTGGAATTTGGTTGCCTTGTCCACTCATGAAGATGTCGAAGAAGTCCTGTCGACCAATGGTCAGGAGCTGACAACCTCCTTGACTTGTGACGGTGGCTGTGCGGCGGGAGTGATGCAGCAGAGCTAATTCCTAGGATGACGAGTTAACATAATACAAAGCACAGCGTTCGACAGGATAAGACAGTTTGTGGAGACAAATAAAGATAATGACGCTCATAATTACTCCTCAAACGTTGATTACCCATTAACGTTCTTACTTACTCAAACCAAAAAGCTCTCTAAACTATTGTGCCACAATTGTAACGTTACATGTAATTCCAGGCACTGAAATCCGTTGGTATCGGGCTTGAGATTTCTTGAAGAGTCTGTTTATTTATTTATTTATTTATTTACTGTAAATGATAAATCTGATAAATTTATCGCAATACCATAGAAATTAGTTTGAGGACAAATTCATAAGTATGGGCCAAGTTGTTTTAACTAATGTGAACTATGAGATACACACAATGACAAGCACCTGACTTCCCTTTAATCCCCGACCTTTCTCAATATAGTATGTCTCGTCACTTACCCCGAAACTCATACCCCTCCTCATTATGGTAGCCGTCTTGACGAAGGAAGCACCGGTTTTCGGATTTCGTAACAAAAGCGTTACAACAGCTAAACAATGAAACAGAAAGGCAATGAACAACACGACGTACGTCAGAAGCTGTTAAGAACAGACATCAGGCCAAATTAAATGCTTCAGTGTTGATATTGACCTGCTTAATTACAATTTTTCCAACACATTCGGAAACATGAAAGTGTTGATTTCATATATTTTCACAGAAGATAAATTTAAAATATGTAACTATACCTGATATTGCCTTACAGCATATTTAACATGTTAGAATCAATTTTCTTACCTTGACCAGCCAAAATGAAATAAAAGTTTTCGGCAAAGTGTCCTTGTCGAATGATAATCCGCTTCGCAGGTACACTGGAACGGAAAACCATAATGTTACTAGGACTTCACAAATTCATTTTAAGAACTTCCATGTATATTTCTTATTTATTTTTATTTTTCAGAAGAAACGAAATATTCATTCATGTAAGAAGTCATATTTAATCCAATCTCATAGATTTCATGTGTTATTCGTCGGTGTACTTACACTTCAAACCAAGCCACCTTGGCAAGCTTCTCTTGCATGTGAAGAGGATACTCAGCAAAGGATCGCAGACTCTGTAGCCCGAACATCGCCTGTAAACCGCACAATACGAACGACATTTGTATTATCAAACATAAAGGCAGGAATTTGAAATAACGATTAAGGCCTATTACGCTGTTATTATTATCTAGTTGTGTTTTGTTTATGTAAATACAGCAGATTTAAAGTTGTCTTATTTTCTTCTTCTAATCTTCAGTGTGTTATTTCACGAATCATATATATATATTAAAATGCATATTTGTCCATTAATGTTGTTCATATGTATGTAACACATATGATGAATCGCTGTCAGATGAAATAAAATAGTCTGTCTGTCTGTTTGTTTGTCTGTCTGCATATTTCTTCAAAGCGTATGTTTCTGATCGTCCAGTTATTTCTTCATCACTCTTATACTGAAATGGAATTGATCACATACATGTATGATGTGAAAACGTTTATGAGTGTAGAGGTGTTAAGTTAACGTAGGAGTTATGTAGTTTTTCTACATTAAGCCTTAGGTGATATAAAATAGACTGGATAACATACATGTAATTCATATAGTATTGAATAGATTGAAATGAATGCTGCAATTATCGCAGACAATATATTGATATAAGACGGAGATGTCCCGTGGTATCCATTATCGTGATGGCTGTAACTAAACACTGTCTAGTCCCAATCGTCCATACCAATACAGTGTGATGAAGTATCGCCCTTTGTTTGGTGATTAAGGATTGCATGTAAAAGCAACCCTTGACGTGTTTCGGTTATTCATGCCATTCCTTTTGTCTGACATGTACAGCATAATTCTCAGGGGAAAATATCATCAAACAACGTTTTAGAAAAATCCGACTAAATTATCAATAAAACACAGAACACAGTGATCTATAACTATTCAAGTTCAATACAACAATTACATGATAAACGTAGCTCCTACAACGTAGAAAATAAATAGACTATGTACATAGATAGAACCGTCTCAGTGCTATAACAATAGAATCGACCACTCAGTTTCTGTGTTTTGTGTAAAAAGTCACTCAGTTTAGGTGTTTTGTGTAAAAAGTCACTCAGTTTAGGTGTTTGAGTATAAAAAGTCACTCAGTTTATGTGTTTGAGTATAAAAGGTCCCTCAGTTTATGTGTTTGAGTATAAAAAGCCACTCAGTTTATGTGTTTGAGTATAAAAGGTCTCTCAGTTTCTGTGTTTGAGTATAAAAGGTCACTCAGTTTCCGTGTTTGAGTATAAAAAGCCACTCAGTTTATGTGTTTGAGTATAAAAGGTCTCTCAGTTTCTGTGTTTGAGTATAAAAGGTCACTTAGTTTCTGTGTTTGAGTATAAAAAGCCACTCAGTTTATGTGTTTGAGTATAAAAGGTCACTCATTTTCTGTGTTTGAGTATAAAAAGCCACTCAGTTTCTGTGTTTGAGTATAAAAGGTCACTCAGATTCTGTGTTTGAGTATAAAAAGCCACTCAGTTTATGTGTTTGAGTATAAAAGGTCTCTCAGTTTCTGTGTTTGAGTATAAAAGGTCACTCAGATTCTGTGTTTGAGTATAAAAAGCCACTCAGTTTATGTGTTTGAGTATAAAAGGTCAATCCGTTTATGTGTTTGAGTATAAAAAGTCATTAAGTTTATGTGCTATATAAAAGACCACTCAGTTTATGTGTTTGAGTATAAAAAGTCATTCAGTTGATGTGTTTGAGTATAAAAGACCACTCAGTTTATGTGCTTGAGTATAAAGGGTCACTCAGTTTATGCGTTTGAGTATAAAAGGCCAATCTGTTTATGTGTTTGAGTATAAAAAGTCATTCAGTTTATGTGTTTGAGTATCAAAAGTCACTCAGTTTCTGTGTTTGTGCATAAAAAGTCTCTCAGTTTATGTGCTTGAGTATAAAAATTCACTCAGTTTATGTGTTTGAGTATAAAAAGTCATTCAGTTGATGTGTTTGAGTATAAAAGACCACTCAGTTTATGTGCTTGAGTATAAAGGGTCACTCAGTTTATGCGTTTGAGTATAAAAGGTCAATCTGTTTATGTGTTTGAGTATAAAAAGTCATTCAGTTGATGTGTTTGAGTATAAAAGACCACTCAGTTTATGTGCTTGAGTATAAAGGGTCACTCAGTTTATGCGTTTGAGTATAAAAGGCCAATCTGTTTATGTGTTTGAGTATAAAAAGTCATTCAGTTGATGTGTTTGAGTATAAAAGACCACTCAGTTTATGTGCTTGAGTATAAAGGGTCACTCAGTTTATGCGTTTGAGTAAAAAAGGTCAATCCGTTTATGTGTTTGAGTATAAAAAGTCATTAAGTTTATGTGCTATATAAAAGACCACTCAGTTTATGTGTTTGAGTATAAAAAGTCACTCAGTTTATGCGTTTGAGTATAAAAGGTCAATCCGTTTATGTGTTTGAGTATAAAAAGTCATTCAGTTTATGTGTTTGAGTATCAAAAGTCACTCAGTTTCTGTGTTTGTGCATAAAAAGTCTCTCAGTTTATGTGCTTGAGTATAAAAATTCACTCAGTTTATGTGTTTGAGTATAAAAAGTCACTCAGTTTATGTGCATGAGTATAAAGGGTCACTCAGTTTATGCGTTTGAGTATAAAAGGTCAATCTGTTTATGTGTTTGAGTATAAAAAGTCATTCAGTTTATGTGCTATATAAAAGACCACTCAGTTTATGTGTTTGAGTATAAAAAGTCACTCAGTTTATGCGTTTGAGTATAAAAGGTCAATCTGTTTATGTGTTTGAGTATAAAAAGTCATTCAGTTTATGTGCTATATAAAAGACCACTCAGTTTATGTGTTTGAGTATAAAAAACCACTCAGTTTATGTGTTTGAGTATAAAAAGTCATTCAGTTGATGTGCTATATAAAAGACAACTCAGTTTATGTGTTTGAGTATAAAAAGTCACTCAGTTTATGTGTTTGAGTATAAAAAGTCACTCAGTTTATGTGTTTGAGTATAAAAGGTCACTCAGTTTATGTGTTTGAGTATAAAGGGTCACTCAGTTTATGCGTTTGAGTATAAAGGGTCACTCAGTTTCTGTGTTTGTGCATAAAAAGTCACTCAGTTTATGTGTTTGAGTATCAAAGGTCACTCAGTTTATGTGTTTGAGTGTAAAAGGTCACTCAGTTTATGTGTTTGAGTATAAAGGGTCACTCAGTTTATGCGTTTGAGTATAAAAGGTCAATCCGTTTATGTGTTTGAGTATAAAAAGTCATTCAGTTGATGTGTTTGAGTATAAAAGACCACTCAGTTTATGGGCTTGAGTATAAAGGGTCACTCAGTTTATGCGTTTGAGTATAAGAGACCACTCAGTTTATGTGTTTGAGTATAAAAGGCCACTCAGTTTATGTGCTTGAGTATAAAGGGTCACTCAGTTTATGCGTTTGAGTATAAAAGACCACTCAGTTTATGTGTTTGAGTATAAAAAGTCATTCAGTTGATGTGTTTGAGTATAAAAGACCACTCAGTTTATGGGCTTGAGTATAAAGGGTCACTCAGTTTATGCGTTTGAGTATAAAAGACCACTCAGTTTATGTGTTTGAGTATAAAAAACCACTCAGTTTATGTGTTTGAGTATAAAAAGTCACTCAGTTTATGTGTTTGAGTATAAAAGACCACTCAGTTTATGTGTTTGAGTATAAAAGTCACTCAGTTTATGTGTTTGAGTATAAAAGACCACTGAGTTTATGTGCTTGAGTATAAAAGACCACTGAGTTTATGTGTTTGAGTATAAAAGACCACTCATTTTCGGTGCGTGAGTACATGTGGCCTTTTTTTTAATTGTGAAAACGCCACTCTATCTCTGTGTGAGTACATATGTGATGGCTCAGTTGATGTGATCGAGTACAAGCTGCCACTCAGTATGTTCTTGTTGATGTATAAGCGACCCGTTAGTTTCTGTGAGCGGCAAGTATCGACTGGCACTTAGTTTGTGTGTGTAAGTGCTAGGGAGAGTAAGTTTTCGGGGGATTGTTTTTGTGAATACATGCTGGCAGTCAGTTTTTCTGAGTGAGTATCAAACGCCACCTGATTTATGTGTTAGTATAATTTATTCAGTTTCTGTTAAGTACTGACCGTTTGTATCTGGTCCGGAGTTCTCTCCTCGGACGGTAGACTAAGTATGGTCTTCACCTCCGTACTGATGTTAATCTGGAAACGAAATCATGCAGTGTCAATGTTATGGGTGAAGATCGACATACAAAACATACTTTTACTTAGGTCAACTACAAAAGGTCAAATGTCAATGTTCAATACCATGTTACTCCGTTCAGAATATACCAGCAATGCAACCTTGATTCGGCATTGTCAGTGCACTAAACCAAATTAATTTGTCGACCAGAGGCGTCGGTATTCGTGTATCAGATGCCCGAATACAGTGGACTATATAGGTAGGACCGATTATAATGGGCACGGTTTACCAGATCAGAATACAGTGGACTATATAGGTCGGATCGATTATAATGGGCCCGGTTTACCAGATCAGAATACAGTGGACTATATAGGTAGGACCGATTATAATGGGCACGGTTTACCAGATCAGAATACAGTGGACTATATAGGTAGGATCGAATATAATGGGCACGGTTTACCAGATGAGAATACAGTGGACCATATAGGTAGGACCGATTATAATGGGCACGGTTTACCAGATCAGAATACAGTGGACTATATAGGTAGGATCGATTATAATGGGCACGGTTTACCAGATCAGAACGCAGTAACTCGGGTTGATTAAAGTATGGATACCCCCAAGTAGCACAACTGATTGATACAGTGAATGAACATGGTCATCATGGCCTGCTCGAGTTAATGTGTGTCAAGTACACCATGGCAAGGGCGTAGCATGAACATACACATCCTCAGAAGTACTATTCAATTAGTAGCTATTGTGTAGGACCCGGAATAGTGATTACATGTTTGTATATAATGTAGGTTATACATTTATATTGAATTTGTCTGGTTAAAAGTAAAACAGTAGCTTGTCATAACGAGTGCTAACAATTGGTATTGTGTATACAGACTCTATGGTACTTTGTTCCGATTTTATTATCAATACATTTTCTGGATTGTCGAGTGAGATTACTAATTAGTATTAATTAGAACATATATAACACATATATCTATAGCAATTTTGCTTCTTTTTGGTTTCAGATATTCTAAAGAAAAAGGACAAAAAACTAAATATTGATTAAATTGAACATTAAAATATTGCGCGCAAGATCCACCAGATAGCATCACAGAGCTTATAGATTGTATTTGTTCGGGAAGGTGGGGGGAGAGTCAATACAAGTTTTATCCTAAAACATGACATATAATAATTGCTAGGGGTTAATTTCATGTCACGTCATGACGGCATAACCCAAAGGTATATTGATAATCACCAGGAGGCCACACATAGCATTCCCCTTTGGTTTAAGTACAGAAAAGTTTTATCGAAATCGTTCAATTATCAAAAATGTATTTATGTGTGTTTTTCCTAAGCTTCTCATGAAAATATCTTTGATTTACCACCTTTTTAATATTTAATAACTTTTTTCTGTTCTCAAACAAAACCTAAGCACCACCTTTTTCATTACTGTGTAAATACGAACGAGTTTTTCTATTAACATAAACATTTAAATCTCAATTAAATATGCTTTATAAAATTTATTTTACAGCATTTTAAGATGTAATAGGTACGGCGGCTTATATAATTACTTGTTACTCGCGTCAAACTTCCCAAATCACATTTGGCTTGAATTCTAACTTGAGCTGTACACACATTTCATAAAATAGTTACATTGATTACTTATTATTGGTTATTGATTGAACCAGGAGAAAATTCAGAAACCATGGGGTCAAAATTTAGCCTTCAGGCCAAACCTTTCCGACACAATACCAGCGTCTAGTTTACTCCGGATGTAAGGGTCCTATAAGGGATTTACCCGTCACTATTTTATATTACTGTTGACATTAATGTTGTTTCAAATAAAACAAGTACATATGAAATGAACCTGGAGTTCACCCTAATCATGGTGGTATTAATGGAACATTTTTAACTTCGACGTCACATGAAGGGTTTATGTCAAGTTTGTAAATATACTGAAGCCATTGATAGAGCCGTGTTCATTAGAAAAGCCGAGTTTAAATACATGAAATCGCAAATTCACACTTTATCGTCAAATAAAACACTAATTTAACCCCGAACTCTGTGAGTGATATATATTCGTTAAAAGCTTTGCCTCTATTTTTCACCAAATTCATTCGCACGTAAGATGCAAACACATAGAAAAGGACAAAAGTTGTTTTTTTCTAATATGGCACTGAATGTTTGGAATCAACCTTACACTATACTGTCAAATCACGTTCCTCGTGCACAATACAAAACCAACATGATAAACTTATCAAACACAAACATATGATAGAATAGTCATATGTAAAAGTACAGAACAAATAACAATTTACTAAAGTAAAGCACTAAACAATTATTGACATATCAAAAAAGTAAGAAACAGCTATAAGGTCAAACCAAACGAAATAAAAAAAACTTATCAAATAAGTACAATACACAGGAACAGTTGAAAATTTATCAAAATAGTATGGCCTCAACTTTGACCAGTATACAACTGACCAACCTTGTAGGGCCTTAACTTTGACCAGTACACAACTGACCAGCACTACCTTGTTGAGCCTTAACTTTGACCAGTATACAACTGACCAACCTTGTAGGGCCTTAACTTTGACCAGTACACAACTGACTAGTACAAACTTGTTGGGCCTTAACTTTGACCAGTACACAACTGACTAGTACTACCTTGTTGAGCCTTAACTTTGACCAGTACACAACTGACCAGTACAAACTTGTTGGGCCTTCACTTTGACTAGTATACAACTGACCAGTACAACCTTGTTGCGCCTTAACTGTGACCAATAAAGACCTGACCAGTATAACTTCGTTCGGCCTAAACGTTGACCAGCATAACTTTGTGAAGTCTAAACATTGACCAGTATAACTTTGTGAAGTCTAAACGTTGACCAGTATAACTTTGTGAAGTCTAAACATTGACCAGTATAACTTTTTGAAGTCTAAACAATGATGTTTGCCTATTGGAAAAAGCTTTGTTCAGTTATTAAGGTGAATAAACATCAAACTTTGTATGTAAAAAGTGTTTGATTTTCAAATAAATTTATACGAAATGACTAGTTCTAACGCATTTTAGTGACATACGACAGAAGCAGACGCATAAGATAGTGGTCATTTCTGAACTCAATACTCCATCATGCAGAACATTAAGAAAGTAACGTCATGTGAACAATTCACAATTTGACATTAAATTTCTTTTTTATGTACATGTTATTAGAGAGGAGAATTTTGATCTGTACTCAAATAACGCCAAGTGTATAACATTAAGCTTTACACAGATAGGACATTACGACTTAACAGCTATATATATAGGGATCGTATTGGTGGGACTATTTACACAGTGCCATTTCAACTTTTGCTCATAAAACCTGAAGATCTATTGACCCAATTTGACTAAATATATATCGGTGATAACTATTTTCAAAATTGACATTGACAATCAAACAAAATGCTATGAGTCAGGCGGAACCGGAAATGGATCAATCGCGCGCTTGATGCAGTTTCCAATGGTTACGAACTTAAACACGTCAATCGATTACTCCATAAAAGGATCTTCTTATCGAATACGTGTTCATTTGTTTCCCTCAATCAAGTGTTATGACGGTTGATAAAACATGACAAATGTGAAAAATATATGTATAAGTGAGAGTATTTACTCAAGGAAAACTAGTACATGTGAAAACCTAGTGAGCTGACCTATTCTACAACGTTATGATGGCAAGGCAGTAACATATTGTTTAAAGACCATGTATTGACCTTTGACCTCTTTGACAATGACGTTGGTACGGACCCAAAATAAACTCATAATGTGTAACCTATGGTACGCAACACATCGCTAGTCAAAACATATAATCTAGAAAAAGCATTGATTTGTATTTGATGTTTTTTTCATAATCATTAAGGATGTGTACCGTTAGTACGTACAAAGCAATACCTAACACATTTAACATTATTCATATAAAATATTTCCCATTTAGATAATAACTATTTTATAGAGAATATGAGCTCCGGATTATCTATGTCTACACACTTATAATACTCGTGTTCCGTAGATAAACTGTACCTCCTTTTTGGCTTTGAAATATGAAGGGTCAAACGACAAGCCTGACGAGTGTGCTGTACTTTCTGCCTCGCTGGCCAGATCTGTAAATGTCTTCATACCTGTGTCCACAGAAGGCTCCCTACAACGCATCACACTCATTTAGTTTGTAAGATTTATATTGTCTCCTGATTTTTTTCGCATTGTGTATCTTTGATTTTATTTTTAATAATCGGATATAATTCAAACCTTTCTGGCAAGCACAGAAAAATCAACTCAAGGTGGATTTGTTGGTCTGTCTAGAATTCCCTAACACTCTCGATTGTTATGATACACGAACATGTCTAAAACTAATATCTTTCAATTAAACCACTTCAAAAATTTGGTGAACAATATAATGTATCAGATTGTATGGAACTATTGGAAAGCATTTTACAAGAAAGTAATAAGTAAGACATAGAGACACTTTAGGACACGGAGGGCTCCCATCAAATTGATAACATGAAGAATACCCTGGAATACAATACACCAGAATACTCGATTATAACTCTCAATACACACCACACGAATGAAGGCTAGAATACTCACACACCATACGATTGAAGGCTAGAATACTCACACACCATACGATTGAAGGCTAGAATACTCACACACCATACGATTAAAGACTAGAATACTCACACATCATACGATTGAAGACTAGAATACTCACACATCATACGATTGAAGACTAGAATACTCACTCACCTTACGATTGAAGACTAGAATACTCACTCACCTTACGAGTGAAGACTAGAATACTCACACACCATACGATTAAAAACTAGAATACTCACACACCATACGATTAAAGGCTAGAATACTCACACACAAAACGATTGAAGGCTAGAATATTCACTCATCATACGATTGAAGGCTAGAATAATCACTCACCATACGATTGAAGGCTAGAATACTCACTCACCATACGATTGAAGACTAGAATATTCACTCACCATACTATTGAATACTAGAATACTCACTCACCATACGATTGAAGACTAGAATACTCACACGCCATACGATTAAAGGCTAGAATACTCACACATCATACGATTGAAGACTAGAATACTCACTCACCTTACGAGTGAAGACTAGAATACTCACACACCATACGATTAAAGGCTAGAATACTCACACACAAAACGATTGAAGGCTAGAATATTCACTCACCATACGATTGAAGGCTAGAATACTCACTCACCATACGATTGAAGACTAGAATACTCACACACCATACGAGTGAAGGCTAGAATATTCACTCACCATACTATTGAATACTAGAATACTCACTCACCATACGATTGAAGACTAAAATATTCACTCACCATACGATTGAAGACTAGAATACTCACACACCATACGATTGAAGGCTAGAATATTCACTCACCATACTATTGAATACTAGAATACTCACTCACCATACGATTGAAGACTAAAATATTCACTCACCATACGATTGAAGACTAGAATACTCACTCACCATACGATTGAAGACTAGAATACTCACTCACCATACGATTGAAGGCTAGAATACTTACACACCATACGATTGAATACTAGAATACTCACTCACCATACGGTTGAAGACTAGAATACTCACTCACCATACGATTTAAAACTTAAATACTCACTCACTATACAATTGAATACTAAAATACTCAAACATCATACGATTTAAAATTATAATACTCACACACAATAAGATTGAATACTAGAATACTCAACCACTATACGCTTGAAGACTAGAATACTCACTCATCCTATGATTGAAGACTAGAATACTCACACACCAAACGATTGAAGGCTAGAATACTCACTCACCATACGATTGAAGGCTAGAATACTCACACACCATACGATTTAAAACTTAAATACTTACTCACTATACAATTGAATACTAAAATACTCACACATCATACGATTTAAAACTATAATACTCACACACAATACGATTGAATACTAGAATACTCAATCACTATACGATTGAAGGCTAGAGTACTCACACACCATACGATTGAAGACTAAAATACTCAAACATCATACGATTGAAGGCTAGAATACACACACACCAAACGATTGAAGGCTAGAGTACTCACACACAATACGATTGAAGACTAAAATATTCACACATCATACGATTGAAGGCTAGAATACTCACACACCATACGATTGAATACTAGAATACTCAATCACTAATACTCCGAATCCCTACAATAAATACTCACTCCAGAACCCGACACTAAATACTCACTCCAGCAACCCTACAATAGATATTCACTTCAAAATCTCTACACTAAATACTCATTCTAGAATCTATTTACGGAACACTCGCTCCAGAACCCCTACACTAAATATTCACTCCATTCTCCCTATAGATTTTAATCTAAATACTCACTCCAGAAGCCTACACTAAATACTCACTCCAGAAACCTACACTAAGTACTCACTCAAGAACCCTACACTAAATACTCACTCCAGAATCCCTACACCTTATACTCACTACAGAATCCCTATAGATTGTACACTAAATACTCACTCCAGCAACCCTACACTAAATACTCACTCCAGACTACCTATAGATTGTACACTAAATACTCACTCCAGAATCCCTACACTTTATACTCACTACAGAATCCCTATAGATTGTACACTAAATACTCGCTCCAGCAACCCTACACTAAATACTCACTCCAGACTCCCTATAGATTGTACACTAAATACTCACTCCAGCGACCCTAGAATAAATACTCACTCCAGACTCCCTATAGATTGTACACTTAATACTTACACCAGAATCCCTACACTTTATACTCATTACAGAATCCCTACACTAAATACTCACTACAGAATCCCTATAGATTGTACACAAAATGCTCACTCCAGCAACCCTACACTAAATACTCACTCCAGCACCCCCTACACTAGATATTCACTTCATAATCTACACTTAATACTCACTCCAGACACCCTATAGATTGTACACTAAATACTCTCTCCATATTCCCTACACTTAATACTCACTCCTGAATCCCTACACTAAATACTCACTCCAGCAATCCTACAATAAATACTCACTCCAGCAATCCTACAATAAATACTCACTCCAGCAATCCTACAATAAATACTCACTCCATATTCTTTACACGTAATACTCACTCCAGCGCCCCAACACTACATACTCACTCCAAAATCTTTACACTCAATACTCACTCCAGACTCCATATAGATTGTACACTAAATACTCACTCCAGAATCTTTTTGCTAAACACTCACTCCAGAATCCCTACCCTCAACACTCACTCCAGAACCATTCACTTAATACTCACTCCAGAATCCCTACACTAAATACTCACTCCAGAATCCCTACACTAAATACTCACTCCAGCAACCCTACACTAAATACTCACTCCAGAATCCCTACCCTCAACACTCACTCCAGAATCCCTCACTAAATACTCACTCCAGCAACCCTACACTAAATACTCACTCCAGTAACCCTACACTAAATACTCACTCAATAATCCCTACACTTTATACCTATTCCAGAATCTCTACACTTAATACTCACTCCAACAACCCTACACTAGATATTCACTCCAAAAACCGCTACACTAGTTACTCACTCCAGACTCCCTATGGATTGTACACTAAATACTCACTCCTGAATCAACACACTCAACACTCACTCCATACGCCTACAACAAATAATCACTTCCAGTGTTAATTCACATCAATGATTGCTTACTTGCCAGCTGCTGCGGAAATTTTTAAAACTATCTGAACAAATCTGCATGCTTTCTGGAAACGATCCTTTGCCTTTAAGCCAAACAGATATGAAGATATGGTGTTAGATATATTGACACAACAATGCATATATATTGTTCTAATTGAACAACAATCATTTTCTATATTCAAAATCGTTTAACAGGATTAAATAAGGTTTTCTTTCTGTACTGTTATTTAAGGCAATAGCAACTACACTGAACACAATAATCCTTACTCGCTACATAAATAGAATTTGTTGTCTCTTAAATATTTGTCTTTTCTCTACCTATAAAAATAATGAACTTTGAAAGATGTTTTTAGTGCATTATTTTTTATTTTCAGGACCAACTGTCAAAGAGTTGTAAAATCCCCATTTTGTCAGAATAAAATCTATGTATCTATGTATGGTTTACTCACAATTTTGGCGCGGACTTCTTTTTCAAGTTTTGTCTTGATCATGTAATTCCCTCGACCGTGACTCATCGTGCTCTTTCTCTTGGATGAGTTAATGGAGTAGGAGCTCCCGGTGGGCGAGTCACAAAGATCCATTCCGGACCTGGATGAGGCACCATCCATAGCAGAGGTAGATTCCAAACCCTTGGGGGTCATACCATCGGGAGTGAGGGACTCTGTCTTTACATTGTCCTGTTGACTAGCACTTACGTCCTCCTGTTTTTCGTCCACGACTTGTAACTCAGTTTCAGGAGGCAGTACATCCTCCTCTTGTGAAGACTCGCCCGGTTTAGCGGATATTTCATTCTCCGCATCCTCTGATATACCTTCCAACTTAGGTGTCATGATAATACAATCCTTCATTGTTGATAGCCCATCGTCGTTTCTCTTACTCTCATCTTCGTCTTCCTCATCTGATGATGATTCATCGTCGCCATCATCGAAAATGCCTTTCAGGATATGTTTGTACCTTGCAAGAAGACTGAAGCCTTGTTGTTTCTTTTCCTTTTTCCTGTTCTTGTCTTCATTTTCTTTATCCTGTTTGTCCTTTGCAAACTTAAATTTTTGCATAGTCTGCAAACTACTTCCGGTGTAATTTTCCGGTTTGGAATAGTAATCGAGATCAGTTTCCGGCGGATCGCCTTTCCCGGCGGAAATAGCGTTGGCCGTCATGGCCTGCTCAAAACTACTCATCTTGGCGACTTCCTTCAACTCTAACCTAACCCATGTTATCTTCTGAACACTTCCATCGGTAGAGAGACAGATGTTCTTTCTGCAATGGCAACAATAAAGTATCCAATGAACATACAATACAGTGACGTCATAGTAATCATTACGTCATGACAATGGAACAATAAACGCGGAAGCGCAAATGGATGACATAATGGAAATGTACTGTGTAGAGCGAGAAAATTGAAATGAACGATTTAAATTACACAAGGAATATCCGTGTATACAGCTGCCGGTCGTGATATTTTATGACTTGTACGTACATATCAACGCCATTCACCTTCTAAACAAACAAATAGCTACAACATAAAAGTGTCGATTTTGTCACACGAGTGCTTCGAGCCCTCACAAACGTGTTTTTAAGCTATAGGCGCCTTGTCTTGAGGACTTAATATTACCAATACTGCCAAAAACGCTGATAGCATACGCGACTGTAAGATAAGTTTTCCGTGGCCTCCGATGGTGAAATGATTCTATTATCTACTTCAGATGGAATTTAATGTCGAAAATATTGGCACCGTAGAGTGGAACGTCCCGGGAAACACCATATTGCTTTTACACGCGCACTAAACCGGAAGAAATTGATCGACGCCGCTATTCATTATAACAGTTTAACAAATTAATAGGTGTGTGCTCGAGTGCGTTCCTCAAACAGTTTCCATTTGTTGTACCAGGTGTGTAAACCAATGTCGAGATACCCCCACACATTTACCCGACTTTACAGCATCAAACAGCCGTCAGTCCCGACGACCTAGAGCTGATCACATCAAATGTGAAATCGATGCATTCCGATCAATTTCGATAACATATAACAGTTATCTTCACCACCGCCTTAAAACAGCGACATATAATTACTTAATCTCTCAACATTAATTGTACTGCTAATTGCGTTGCTGTGTCGCGCCAGTCTCGGGGCCTCGCCTATTGACAAGCCGTTAGCTCGAAAGATGCACTGCCAGCAACTGTCTCATTGTTAGATATGTGTCATCGATCCGAACTCTCTCTCATTGATCCGTGATAAAAATCATCAGGAAGTCGTTGTTAGTTACCATTCCGTTAAATATTCAACGTCAAAGTGACTCAGTTTTATTTCAATGATCTTCGACACAATTCAAAATCGCAAACTTTCCTTATTTTTTTGTTTACACTTTTATTCTCGATAGCAAATTGTTGTGGTTTTGTCTGTCACTACACTTTTCAGATCAATTTGTATATCTCGGTCAGAGAAACACTGCCAGAAGAGACCTGTTAGCTCTCGCTGCCGTATCTCGTTCCGCTCGGAAAATTTCATTGTCATAATTTCAAGAAAGACAATCCGATTGGTTTTACATGAACGCGAGGGCATCGATTTCAAATAAACTAATAAGATATCTCTATGACTGTTATCACGGTCTTATGGACGCCGTCCGGTATCACTGATCACTGCTGTGCGGGGGTAGCTAGAAATATAGCAGACTTATCATCTCGAATATTAATACACAACGTATACAATACCTTTTTCTTTTATTCCTAATGAAGCTTTCGTAAACGTTAACCTGTGACATTAAGACAAAACACATAAATAACCTCTATTTTCTTTTAACTTTGGGACAAAAACAGCCGTCAAAAAAGAAGTAATTTCTCTTGGAATCTTACCTACAAACACGTCACAATACAATTATGGAGAACCCCACATGCAATATCCGTCCTTATAAGAATGAATGTATTCATAAAATCACAACTGGATTCACACTAAGTCAACATTGAAACAAAGTTAGGTATTTACACGACTTAAAAACGGAACAAACACACACTTGTCATATACAACACAATATGGCAGGGTCACCAACTTCCCGACGACGGCATAAATTCAAAATCCAAAGTTGATATTTTTTCCTCGCTATGTTATCTTACGCGAACCTTTTATCAAACTTTAAAGGTTTTTAAACACTTCTTCAGCCCAAACACGATACATTGTATACCCCTTGTGAGATGTAATCCCTCCTCACCCCGTTAAGACGATAGCGTGAACATAGCCTCACCCAATGCTTGTTTAAATAGACCGTAGAGCACAGTTGATCTGGCCGTTCGAAAATAATTGCATATTTTATTGAGTGAAAACTATATAATAACGAGAGTGTTTTGGGTCTGAAAAGATTTCAATACCTGGGTTCACAACCTTCAATCCCTATGGCTTTTAACCCGTGAATTGTTAGTACAAGGGGCGAAGTGGAGCCCGACCCACCACTACAAATATATACGTATACCATTATTATTGGAACACCCGGATAAACACAGCGTATCAAATAAAGATTCCGTAGGTTTATACAGTTAATAAACTTTCTATCGTAGTCGACATAATCGACAATACCCTAACCACGGAGGTTTGTGAGGCTGGTTTGTATAATCAAGTCGAATCTGCTCAACACCGTCCTATTAACTAGGTTTAAACAATCGAATCCACTCTGTTGAAATGATTTTAGAACCGTTAGTACCGCAGACATTTTGATTAAGTTACATTAGATATCCCCCTAAGCTCAATCTCCGAACATTATAGGTATTTTTATTTTACTTTCTACGAGATTAACGTCATAATTGTAACCTTTATCATATTTGTACTCCTGTTGTTGTTTCAGACTCAGACAAGGCGTGATGGTGTTCAATGTAATTGCAAATATACTGTTAACCGGGAATTATCGCCAAATCAAACGTTCGCCCATTACATAAATGCCCCCTCCACCCAGTGTTAATTTCGCGAAATTTAATTACAGAGAAAATGTCCAGTATGCAGTAATTATTTACTAGAATACCACGCCTTGCTTACACGGGTCTGATAAAAGTATATAGTACAAAGCGACGACGCTCTACTAATCACGTCAATGTTGGTAGGCTCTCAATGTTAACAGTGTAAACTATACAACGTCACATTACAGTCAAACCTATAGGAAGAGGCCATTAAAAGGACGGCTCATACGTGGTATCTTAGCAGAGATGGTCTCTGTTTTAATATAGTTTTTACATGCACATTGGAACCTCGTTATAATGCCGCTATTTGTCAATAAATACGGGCGTTATAAAAGGGTTTGGCGATGAAATGGGGGGCGGGGGACTGCAAATGAGTTCTTTGAAAAGAAAAAGAGAGAATAGGACTTTGAAATAAGTTGGCGGTAGGCGAGGTGGCAGATAGAATGAGGAGCGTTGTATCGAGGTTTTACTGTCTATATAGTAAGCTGTTTGGTGAGGATGTTAAAATGATTGTAATTTTGAAGAGGAGATTGCTGAATAGAGGCGGACACTTAATAGAGTATTTATGTATGTCAACTTTGTGGGAATATACAACGGCGGCTCCTTAAGAGAGAGGATTGCATAATAAGGGAAGGACAAGTCACCTAAAAAAGTAAAGGTCAAACACATTCTGCACTCATAATGAATTACGTGTATATCAAAATGTCTTTAGGAGCTGAAAATAGACAAACAAGAGGTGCCTAGGGAGACACCACTCCTCAAAAGTAAGGAGAAGAACCAGAGAATCTGAATATCGTTTCTGTCACTAGTTTTGACACACCGCCTATATTAATGAGGAGAAATACAGGGAATTCCTGAGATATACAGGCTTCGCAGAGGATTTGAATGGTCCGCTCAGTATCTCTAGTTCACTTTCAACGTTACTTCTGTAGAAATATGACGAAGAACACGACAAAATTTCGAAAATGGTCTCTGCAAGGGTTTTACGAAAAACAAAAGAACAAATATACCTGCCTATTGTTTAGACAAATCTGTGTATCTGTGATACAAGTACCTACCTGTAATATAAGTACCTACCTGTAATACAAGTACCTACCTGTGATATAGGAGGCGATCAGGTATACACTGGGATGGTGACGGACTAGTCTAATTCACAATAACGAGTGGCCGGTATAGTCCTTGCTAGACTAATAGTCCCAGATAGGTGACTATAGGAGCACACGGAATAGTCCTACTGGCAGTACAGTATCCTCCATAGACCTAGGATAAGACAATACACGCGGCCCGTGCACTGGTCGTTCACTACTGTACGACTGTGATACATGTAAATAAATCTATATGATCATTGCTCATATCACCCTTTATAACGCACAACTGACTTTTTTCTAGGTAGTATTTTTTACAGGGAAATATATGTAATCGACGGGATAACATAAATCCGACGATTTAAACTACAATTAAAACGGTCGACCGATGATCGGTCTGGGCTACAAAGCAATCAAAAAACAGTGACATTATAAAGAGAGATCGTGTGACCGAATCTAGTAAGTCAATATTATATTTACCGAATAAAAACAGCAAGAAGGGTTTAATAGTGTCGCGATCAGACTAACGGCGGGGTTATATCATCAAACAGTGTATTAGGTAAATATCATTTTCGATTATTTACTTGTATTGACGAGGAAATGGCAGTCAACGTTAGAAAACCTCTTGGTAACAACGGGAGATTAGTGTATAATTATCATGTGATTGTGTAAAAACAAGAAGAACCTAGTATAGTGCTAGGGAACGTTAGAGTACATACTGGGCCATGTTCGACATTACGACTGTGGCTATTGACTTATTCAGTAATGATCGTTTTCTGATTCGTCATGGAAAAGCAATAAATCAAAAGTGATAAATTACTGGAGAATCCTTACATAACGTCAACTTATAAAACCATTAAACTTTATTCTGTCCGGTTATAGTCCCATATTTACTGATCTGTGGCATTGTCACTATGTTACATCAAAACATATAAACTATGGATGTCAAGCACAACGTGCTGACGTCATCATTATTATGACGTCATAATTGTAATGTTGGCTACCTTCTTCAAGTATTGAACAGCTTTTAAACTGCATTAATAGCCTATATGAAACTTTCTTGATTAGCACCGTCAGTTGGAAATGAAATTTCCATTAAACACGCTTCATATGTGTAGTAAATTATATGAATGAATAACTTGTAGACAAACTTTCGTGACTCGATTGATATTTATGTTTCGTATTTGTCCCTCTAATCTGAGGAGATTTCCAAAAGGAGGAGCAAACAGTCGGC